CATCATAAATGTACCTGGAACTTGTTCTGGCTGGAAATCCCCAAACCTTCCAGCTTCCAACTGTACGATCCCCATAGGAGGAGCAGTTGAGACTCCACTCCATCAGCCTGAATCATGCTTAGCTGACAATCCCCTCCCTGAGAGGGCCATTTCAGATTGGACTTCAATTGTGATTAGAAAAGCAAACAAAACAAAAGCACTTTGATTCTTGTAAACTGTGCACAGGACGTCAGACTAGGCCCCGGGTTCATATCCCCCACTCTGCCATGGAATCTTGCCGGGTGACCTCAGGCCAGTCACTCACTCTCCACCTAACTTTCCACACAGGAGCGTTGTGATGTCAATATGTGTGTCCCTATGAGGAAAGGTTAAAGCGCTTAGGGCTCTTTAGCTTGGAGAAACGACGACCGAGGGGTGACATGATTGAGGTTTATAAGATTATGCATGGGAAAGAGCAGGTAGAGAAAGAGGTACTTTTCTCCCTTTCTCACAATACAAGAACTCGTGGGCACTCCATGAAACTGCTGATCAGGCGGGTTAGAACGGATAAAAGGAAGTACTTCTTCACCCAAAGAGTGATTAACACATGGAATTCACTGCCACAGGAAGTAGTGGCGGCTACAAGCATGGAGGGCTTCAAAAGGGAATTAGATAAGCATATGGAGCAGAGGTCCATCAGTGGCTATTAGCCACAAGGTATAGATAGGGGCTCTGGGGCAAGTGATGCTCTGTCATCTTAGTGCTTGGGGGGGGGGGACAGTGGGAGGGCTTTTAATGTCCTGGCCCCACTGGTGGACCTCCTGATGGCACTGGTATTTCTGGCCACTGTGTGACACAGAGTGTTGGACTGGATGGGCCTTTGGCCTGATCCAACATTGGCATCTCTTATGTTCTTAATTTCATGTTCGCTGCATCGATGACACTGTCTAACCATCTCATCCTCTGCCGTCCCCTTCTTCTTTGACCTTCAGTCTTTCCCAGCATCAGGGTGTTCTCCAGTGAGTGCTCCCTTCTCATTGGGTGGCCAAAGTATCTGAGCTTCAACTTCAGTGTCTGGCCTTAATGAAGAACTGGGATTTCTTGCTCACTAAAAGTGCAAATGTCTTGCATACTGCACCTCTTACAGATGTAGGGCCCAGGCTAGCCCCGTCTCATCAGATCTCGGAAGCTAAGCAGGGGCCTAAGCAGATGGGAGACCACCAGGGAAGTCCAGGGGTCACTACGCAAAGGCAGACCATGGCAAACCACCTCTGGACATCTCTTGCCTTGAAAACCCGTAAATGGGCTGCAACTTGACGGCACTTTACACACATCCACACGGATGTTATAGTGCTAATCCAACCTTCACAGAGTTACACCCTCCTAAATCCATGGGTTTAGAAGGGTGTAACTCTGTGTGGAACACCACTGTCAACTATGCGGCTGCAATTTTCTATAGTATTTGTTTCTTTCAGGGCTTTTTTTGTGTAAAAAGACCAGCAGGAACGCATTAGCATAATAGGCTACACCATTAGCACATTAGGCCACACCCCTTACAGCACAGCTCATTGGCATATTAGGCCACACCCCCATGTTACCAGAAGTGAGCTCATCCAGCCACACCCACCTTTTGCTTCTTATTCTGTTTACCTTGTTTGTTGTCAAAACCCAGGCCTTTTTTGTAGCAGGAACTCCTTTGCATGTTAGGCCCCACACCCCTAATGTAGCCAATCCTAATGAGTTTCCTACTGTTTGGTGTGGCCTATTATGCTAATGAGTTCCTGCTGGGTGTGGCAAATTTGGGAGCCAGCCAGAACTCCGTTCCTGTGCGTTCCTGCCCAAAAATAGCCCTGGTTTCTTTTATCTCATGTATGTTAATCTTACTCTGGTATTTAATGCACCCGACTCAAGGGATGACTCTTTTGACTTGATTTTGTTTTAAAGCTGCTTCTCTTTTGTAATATCTACACACACCTATCGCAGATTTCTCTTGTGAATATAAAAGCATTGAGCTAATGGATATACACTTCCCGTGTCTGATATAGGGTTGCCAACAACCTCCAGGTGGGACCTGGAGTACTCCTGGCATTACAACTGGTCTCCAGACTACACAGATCAATTCCCCTGGAGAAAATGGCAGTGTTGGAGGGTGGATCTTGTACAGTTGCCAATTCTTGGTGGGGATATTCCTGGAGATTTGGGGGTGGAGCCTGGGGTGGGCAGGTTTGGGGAGGGGAAGGACCTCAGCAGGTTATAATAACACAGCGACCACCCTCCAAAACAGCCATTTTCTCCAGGGGGAGTGATCTATGTCATCTGGAGATCAACTGCAATTCCAGGAGATCTCCAGCCCTGGTCTGGAGTCTGGCAACCACGAATCACATACCAGCCAGTTTGGTGTAGTGGTTAAGTGCGCGGACTCTAATCTGGGAGAACCGGGTTTGATTCCCCACTCCTCCACTTGCACCTGCTGATGTGACCTTGGGTCAGTCACAAGCTCTGGCTCAGCTGTCCTTGAAAAAGAGCAGTTTGTGTCAGAGTTCTCTCAGCCCCATCCATCTCACAGGGTGTCTGTTGTGGGGAGGGGAAGGGAAAGAAGTTTGTAAGCCGCTCTGAGACTCCAAGTGAAGGGCAGGGCATAAATCCAATCTCTTCTCTTCTCTTCTCCTTCAGCCAGTATAGTGTGGCACATAGAGTGTTGGATCAGGTTTGGGCAAGAGCCAGGCTCGAATCCCCACTATGCCATGGAAGCTTGCTGGGTGATCTTGGACCAGCCCCACGTTCTCCGCCTAACCTACCTCACAGGTATGTTGGGAGGATAAAACAAGAGACAGAACAATGTATTTTGGGTCCCCATTGGGGGAAAAGGCAGGAAATAATAATGTAAATACCCTTTGAGCTCCTTCCTCTTTCAAAACACCATCCCTAATTTTCCAAACTTGGAACAGGCAACCCTAAAATGAAGACAGCCTTTTATGCTGGAATAAATCCCATCATTCCAAATGAATTAGGTTACTCCCTGAAGTACTTTCCTAAAGTACTTGCAAGTGTTTCATTTGTCCGCCGCAGGCTGACCCAGTTACCCTGGCCACTGGCAAGAGGGGGGGGGTAAGGGTTGCCAGATCCAGGTTGGAGAGTTTCTGGAGATTTGGGGATGGAGCTTGGAGAGGACCTCAGTGGAGAACAATGCCACAGAGACCACCCTCCAACCCCCCCCCCCCAGAACGAATCCCTGTAGCCTGGGGGGGG